AGCTACACCTGTATTCCACTGTTTTATCTTATTCTAATTCTACTTGTGAAAATGGCAATAATTATATTCATTGTAAATTTTCAGGCTATTATGAGGGTAAACAGAAATATTCACAACTGCATTTAAGCTCTTTGATAAAACAAAATGAGCCAATAAACCTAAGGCGTTCCCATTTTTAAATAAAACAACCGGAGAGCATCATATGTCTGCATAGGTAATAGTTGGTTTTAAAATGTCATTTCTGGCCACATGTAGTAGCTCAAACCTGTAATCCCAGCAGTTTGAGAGGCCAAGGAAGGAGGATCGCTTGAGTCCAAGAGTTTGAGACCAGCCTGGGCAACATAATAAGACCCAGTCTCTACAAAAAAAGTTTTAAAGATTAGTTGGGCATGGTGGTGTGCACCTGTAGTCCCAGCTACTCAGGAGGCTGAGGCAGGAGGATTGCTTGAGCCTGGGAGTTGAAGGCTGCAGGGAGCTATAATTGCATCACCATACTCCAGCCTGGGTGACAGAGTGAGACCCTGTCTCAAAATGAATGAGTGAATGAATGAATGAATGAATGAATGAAACAAATAAAAATAAAGTATCATTTGTAATACAGCCAAAGAGATCATCTGCTAGCTCATTGAGCCACTTCCAAGGTTCAGACAGGAGATTAGTGTAAACATGCACATGCACTGGTTGGGCAATGCCCTTCTCAGGACTTTCACTCAACTCAGGGTTGCTGCTGTTATTCTCAATTTATTTTAAACACAGTAAATAAGTTAGTATGGATAAAAAACACTATGTAAACCAAAATACATGTCTGAAATTAATCTAAATGTTCTTCAGTACACTCAGGAAGATATTTTGACCCATGGATCTCAAATGCTAAACTTGAATTGCTTCAGAAGAAGCACAAAGTCATTGAAAATTTCAGAAAGCAATATGTGTATATTTACATGTGTACACACATAGACACATACACAGTTTCTTCTAAAGATGACTCTCAATTTTGGTTTCAAACTTATTGAATCAACATGATGATATCATTAATAGTTACATTATTTATGCATTTATGGATTGAAATACCAAGAAGCATACGTACTTCCCCTCCCCCATGTTCCAATTTTCTTATGCAACAAGTTGGCAAGCCTAGACGTTCATCAGGAAATCTGTTAGAGAGTAAGTACTGGACACACTGTCTTATGATAACATTTGCTCTCTTTCTCCAGTCGGGATTATATAATTCACTTGACTGTTGTAGTTATCAAGTTGCATTTGCTTATGTGTCTGTCTCCCCATTGGACAGTGAATCCAGGAGAGTAGGGATTATGATTTTTATCTCTGTGTCTAATCATTTTTCTGCCCCCAGGAGCCAGCTGCCTTATTCAGTAAACGGATGCTCTTCGACACTGTAATCTTGATTGGTCAATTTCTGTACTATATAAGGTTTTGGGAAGCAGAGATGGACAATGATGAGACAGAGTGGATGAACTCAAAAGAAGATGAGGTTGTAGGGAGAATGCAGGAAAGGAAGGAAGGGGGTATCTTTGTAGAGCAGGTAGCAAAATTGGAAGTCAAAGTGTCCAGTGGCAGTGGTGATAAGTGTTGACCAACCTCAGTTTGATGAAGGTGGCGGGAAAGTCAATTTAAACTTTTCACTGGGAAGCAAGGTATTTCTGAGTCTAATGCTTATGGAGAATTGGCCTCTGTATTTCCCTCCAGACTTTTATGAAGCACCCAGCCTGGCCCAAACATAAGCCAGATGCTGAATGGCCTGCCAATGGCCTGCCTATGTGAAAACTATTCAGTTTGATTAAGAAAAATTTCATCATATTCTGGTTTGTATATTAAGCCTGCTAACATCAAAGTACACAGAATTTTCATTTTTATGTCAGCTACTTAGCTGTCATTTTGAAGCGGTGCAATTATTAAATTAAATTAAATCACAGGCTGGGCACAATGGCTCACGCCTGTAATCCCAACACTTTGGCCGAGGTCAGGAGTTGGAGACCAGCCTCGCCAACATGGCGAAATCCTATCTCTACTAAAAATAAAAAATTAGTCAGGCATGGTGGTGGGCACCTGTAATCCCAGCTACTCAGGAGGCTGATGCAGGAGAATCGCTTGAACCCAGGAGGAGGCAGAGGTTGCAGTGAGCTGAGATCATGCATTGCACTCCAGCCTGGGCAACAAGAGCAAGACTCAATCTCAAACAAACAAACAAAAAGCACAAGTGCTAGCATCAGCTTTCACCATTCCCCTAGAAGAGATCAGCTTTTTTGGTGTTAACAACGTGTTCTATAGCACGAAGGCAAGACTACTGTCCACCGTCTGACCTCCTTTCATATCTCCCAGAGGGCTGTGATGAGGGCCACTGCTGCTGGCTGTGGGGGTCTTCATTCCCCTGCCTCTCACCCCTGTACCCTCAGGGCACATGAACCTTTCCTTTTTTACATGGCAGACTAGCTGTGGCTTCTGGTGGCCATGTCGCTTCAGAAGTGTGGTTTTTAGTAGGTACAGATATACTAGGATCTGTCATTCAATTAAAGCTTCTAGGAACTGAAAGACAGCAGGAGATAAAGAGAGCAGGAGAAAGAGGAAGCATGGTTATTAGAAGATAAATGATCTTCATTTCAAATGAAGACTGCTCAGTGAAAAATCTCCTTAAGGCACTATTTCCCAAACTTGCCTGTTCATGAGTGTGAATTACACAGGGACCCTGGGAAAAATCCAGGTCCCTTGGTGCCATTTTAGAACCACTAAATACATCTGCAGAGGTAAGAGTCTGGATAATCTGTGTTTTCAACATGCCCTGGAAATTCCAACAGTCAGGGAAATTGGGGAATCACTAATTTAAAAGAAGTTCGCTCCATCAACTTAAGTCATTAAGATTTGAATATATCAGGATTAGCTCTCAAAAACACATGGCTTCTTGGAGTAAAAATTTCACTAGAATTGAATTTTAAAATTATTAAACCCCCTAATGCTATCCCTCCCCTAGCGCCCCACCCACTGACAGGTTCCAGTGTGTGATGTTCCCCTCCCTGTGCCCATTTGTTCTCATTGTTCAACTCCCACTTACCAGTGAGAACATGTGGTGTTTGGTTTTCTGTTCCTGTGTTAGTTTGCTGAGAATGATGGCTTCCAGCTTCATCCATGTCCTGCAAAGGACATGAACTCATGCTTTTGTATGGCTGCAGAGTATTCCATGGTATATATGTGCCACATTTTCTTTACCCAGTCTATCACTGATGGGGATTTGGGTTGGTTCCAAGTCTTTGCTATTGGGAACAGTGCTGCAATAAACATACGTGCACATGTGTCTTTTAGTAGAATGATTTATAATCCTTTGGGTATATACCCAGTAATGGGATTGCTGGGTCAAATTGTATTTCTGGTTCTAGATCCTTGAGGAATCGCCACACTGTCTTGCACAACGGTTGAACTCATTCACACTCCCACCAACAGCGTGAAAGCGTTCCTATTTCTCCACATCCTAATGTAGCACCGAATGTCGATGACAGGTTGATGGGTGCAGCAAACTACCCTGTCCTGTGTATACCTATGTAACAAACCTGCACATTCTCCACATATGTCCCAGAACTTAAAAGTATAATAATAATAAAAAAGATTGAAAATTTAAAATGCTAATACAAAATTAGGCTTTAATTATTTGCAGAAAACATTGTATTTTCAATGTGAAAAACGAAGGGTTATTGCATGTATTATCAATAAAGTTACATAGTTTCTCATAAAAATAACATTAAAAATGGAAAATTCTAAAAGAAAAATAACTAAATTCCTTTAGGACTATTTAAATATGTATCTGTCAATTTTAACATGAAAATTATCTTACATTTATACATCCCACATTCTAATAAGGACTAATTGACATGAATTATGATCAGTAAAGAAATACGTGTATGCGTGTCTGTATACTTATAGGTATATATCTGTTCCTGTAAAAATATCTCTTTTAGAGTCAGAAAATCTGTTTGGTCCCAGTTCTCACTAAAGATACTTAATAAACTCAATAAACTTTACTCTTAATGAGGTAAGAATGAGAACACAGGCGCCAGCAATGAGCTGGGGTTCCTCTGGCACAGGCTTCAGAGATCCTACCTTTAACATCCTCCTTTCATTCATTTGAGCCTGATAAGAGAGGAGTCTCTTGGGAGAGGAACAAGTATACACCTTGGGATCAGACAGCCCATGGTCAAAGTTGAACTCCACCACTGTTCAGCTGTGTGACTTTAGGCAAGTGACTTTCCCTCTCTGATCCTCATGATCATTTTTGGTAAAAACAGCACAGTGACAGGTCTATGAAGATTGGAGGAGCTGAAATAAAAATGTGTGTCTTAGTTTGAGTTTCCTGGAAGTAGATCCTGAGGCAAAGATTCAAGTATAAAAATTTTATCTGGAGATGACTCTAGGACAGCAATTATGCTGCCAGTTCTTCCTTAGGGTACTAATTGCAGGAAACACTAGTACAGGAGTGGAGAACTGAAACAGGAATGGAATGCAGCAGTTAAAGGGACCTTCATCAAGAAAGTTTCCACTGTGGTCAGTCAGGACTCAGCCCTGCCGGGTACCTCTGAGACACAGCATAGAACATGTGTCTCAGAGTCATCCTACTCAGAGCAAGGGAGTTTGGGTATTTATCCACTCTTACCTACCAGTCACTTCTCAGGGCTTCTTCCAAGGGCATGATTCCTCCAGAATGCCCTGCCTGCACTGCAAGAATGAGACCTGGAGGGTCAACGGCAAGGGCCCTGACAGCACTTCCAGCAATGAGCACAGCCTGGGGTGGAGAATTTCAGTCCCTCAGTGACCCCAACACACACACACACACACACACACACACACACACACACACACACACACACACACACATTCCCTCTCTCTCTCTCTCTATTGCTCTCTCCCCCTCTCTCTCTCTCTCATGCACACACACATTCTTTCTCTCCCTCTTCTCTCTCACACACATTCTTTCTCTCTCTCTCTCTCTCTCCCTCTGACACACACACACACACACACCACACTCCAACACCAACACAGGGTATATGTACATACACACACATGCATACATGACTGTTACCCACTCAGATCCTGGTGAATCCATGGGATAGAAGATAAGGTGGGAATCAGAGGGAAGAGCAAAATTAAGGGGAGTGAAGGTCTTGGGAACAAAATGCAAATGCAGTCAGAAAATCAAGAGGGAAGAGGAGCGGTCTGGACACCAAATGCCTGCTGGTGGTACCTGCTCTACACACACTGTCAGTCATTCCCCAAGCAGCCTCGTAGGGTAGAAGGAATTCCCCTCAACTTACAGATGGCAGAAATGTAGTTCAGAAAAGAAAACTGACTTTACTAACTGATTTTACTGCTCCTGGGCTCTGCTCCTTTTCTTGCTAGGCAATCATAGCAGAACTGACAAAAACATTTTCCCCCTTCACCACCTGGACCAGAGCCAATGAGAGGGGCTGGGGAACAGGCCATGAGGCCCTGCACCCACCATTCAATGTCTTCAGGACTGTGGCCCCTCAGGATTGTTGCACCACATGCTGGCAGCACTCCCGGTGTCTGGGTGTCTTGTGAAGTTGTACAGGATCCAGTAGAGGCCACTGGCTCTGCTGTCATACCCAGAGGCAGCCAGACAGGCTTGTGACTCTTGGCTGCTTCAGCACCAGAGGATGAACAGCACTTATGCACTGAGGCTTTTGGGAGAATGAGAAGAGGGAAAAGAAGGGCAGAATGGAGTGATGTAGGTCCATCCACCACATCCCTGAATGGAAGGACCCCTGTTCCCACAGTAGTCCCACACCGAGACCACCACCGGCATTCATGAATATGCCAGCCTCCATTTCTATGTCCTCGTCTGACAACTCCTTCCCATTTTCATCCTGGAGGCAAGACTCTGAACGTACTAGCTCTGAGGGCACCTGAGTGTAACCTGAGACAGTGCCTGAAGACCTTTCATCCAAGCAGGATCCCTCCCTTGCTATCTCCAGACCTGCCCCACAAGCTCCCTCCCTGGTCTCCTGGCTCTTGTTCATTCCTAGGCAGCCTTCTACAGTCATCTCTAAGATGAATCTGACTGTCACACCTTTATCCAGCATCTTCCATGGCTCCCCAGAGCCTTCCAGATGAAGTGCAAGTTCTTTCATCAGATGCTTGATCCCAAGCTCCATTCTACCTCCTGAATTAAGATCCCGGAGAAGCCCGCCTCTCTCAGCACAAGTGCCTCAATGAAGTCAGAAGCCTTGAACGTGGCCTTGGCCTTGAGGAAGTCATCAACACCCTGGCTAGTGAGGGTGCAGTACTGCTCCAGGATGATGGTGTCTGAAGTTGTGCACCAAGTCAGAGGCCCTGCAGAAGCATTGCTCCTCAGGAATGAGGTAGTACAGGAAGTCCGTGCACAGGCAGATCTGCTGCTGCCGTTACACTATGAGGGCACTGAGCTCCAAGATGGCGGCAACGTATTCACTGGCATTTCTGCAGGGTGAGGCTGGGGAGAGGAAGCAGCTCCACAACACATATGAAACCCTGGAAGCCCTTCCCAGCCAAAATCTCTGGACCACACTACTTCCAGAAACGGCTGCCCTCTGAGCACACTTGTCTCTCTGTCTTCCACTCCGAGTTCCCTCCTGGCCCCACATGCCCCAGTCTGGACCAGGACTTTGAGCCCAGCAGGTGTTCAGTCCATGGTGTTGACTGCTCCCTGGGCCAGAAGAGCCCTTGGTGGCTCTGTGACTCCTCCTGTGGGACCACTGCCTCTGCCTCAGGACCTCCCGATTCCCATGGGAAGAACCCAAGGCTGTGGATTGCCCCACCTGCCCAGGGATCCTCCAACCCCATAGGCCTTACTCGATGCCTTAGCCCTCCCAGAACATGACATGCTTCTCAGAAGGTGACTTATTTCCAATGCCATCTGTGGATGTTTCCTGGGGACCTCTCGCTGTTCTCCTTTAAAATCTGTAGGTCAGGGCCAAGAGGAGAAACCAGCCCAACCTCAGAATAAACAAAAGGCCCACTGCCACAAATGGCAACCGCCAAACAGTCAGCAGTGCTTCTGGAAGGAAGGAGGCTTCATTCTGCACAAAACTCCTCGTTTGGCTTCTTTCTGTATCCGGGGAGGGGTAGGTACCAAGCCCAGCTTACCTGTGGTGTCTGTGCCTAGGATGTACAATGGGCCCCTGTTCCCACTGCAGGGTTGATGTTTCCTCCAGCTGGAGATCTGGGCTCCTGACACCGCCTGGCCTGTTTGTCCTGCACTGGATGAGCGTGGAAAGGCTGTACCTGGTATTTCCCTAGGCCCTTGGTTTCCACCATCTAGACATCCAGCAGGAGTGGCCATGCCCTGCCCCACACCTGAAAGGGAACTCCCTCACAGAGCAGCCGAGACATCTACAGAGGGAAGAGTGCTCGGTGAGACAGGCCACAGAGGTCCCCGGGGAGAGAGCTCGGTGAGACAGGCCACAAGGGTCCCCGGGGAGAGAGCTCAGTGAGACAGGACACAGGGGTCCCAGGGAGGATCGGGGGTGGAGGATTCTGGAGGTTTCCAGCCTTGGGCTCTGTGGTTCCTCAAAGAGGTTAGGTCCACCTAGTACCAGGCCTCCCCTCCCATGATTCAAAGAACGGATGAGTGTTCAATGTCAGGAACTCTGATCTGGACCTGTTTTTTCATTTACGTCACCAAGAGACAAGCCCTAGCCCCTCAGCTAAGGATGGTCCAAGCTCTGGGATGAAATTCTCCTCCAGCAATGTGATGCTTACAGGGACAGGTAGAAAAGCTGGTGACCAGGCCTGCTGTCCTCTGGGTAAGGACAGTGTGCCACCCACCCTCTGAGAGTCAGCTGGTGCCAGGCCACAGCACTGGGCGCCTGTACCCCTGGCTCTGCAGACACTAGTCATGGAGGTCCCTCCCTTTCCGCATTACCTTCTTGCTGCTCCTAGATTTCTTCTAGTCAGTAAGCACTTTGAGTCATTTTTCTGTGCATCTGATTTTACATGTTTGCTCTCAGATGACACGCGATAAAGTATGCTGAGCTGCCTGGATTCCTGGAGGAGACCTTGGATGCTGAGTCTTGGGCTCCAGGGCCCTGATGGCCCTGAATCAGAAGGAGCCAGGGAAGGACAAATATTGGGGCCGAACCCCTATGACCCAATGGCCATTGGTTGCCTGGCCTTATAGTCCCAAGACACCCTGTCCTCAGGTCAGAGACACCATGGGCTTTGGTCAGGTCCCAGCCTCCCAGTAGTGTCCTGGCACTAGCAGGTGCTTACCCCTGAGCCACAACCGCAGTTCTGGGTTTGGGGTTTGGTAAAACCACCTCAAGGACAGAGTCCTGGGGTCAGATTTGGCAGGAACCATGGTGCCTCCCAGAGATGGTGTGCCACTCCCACTTGCCATGAAATGTGCACACAGGCTGTCCCCCTGTCCATCCCATCCTGCTGGACAGGATGGAGGAACTCAGGGAACAGGCAAGGTGGGCAGCTGGGGTGCAGGAAGAGGCAAGAACATGCTGGGAGGTCAGACCCTGTGAGGGCTGTGGAGGCATCAGGTGGAGTGGGCATGTCTCAGGCCAGGCTCCCCCGACCCTGGATGTGTGATGTGGCCACTCCCTGGGGGACTGCTGTCAGGACAGAAATAAGGAGATTAATCATTTGTGAAGGATCCACCTGCCACCATCATTTTTCACCCCTCACCCCCAACATAATCGCCCCATTCTCCCTATCTCCCACCTTCCAACCCCCACTCTCCACCATGATTAAATCATCTTCCACCAGGCCCCACCTTTAACATTCCCCATTACAATTCCACATGAGTTTTGGTAGGGACACAAAGCTAAATTTTATTATTCTGTCCTTGGCCCAAATCTCATGTCCTTCTCACATTGCCAACGACAATGATACCTTCCCTACAATCCCCCAAAGTCTTACATCATTTCATCATTTATACAAATGTTCAAAGCTTAAAGTCTCATCCAACACAAGGCTGCAGACCCTTAGACTCATGAACCTCTGAAATATAAAGCAAGTTAACTACTTCCAAGGTACAATGCTTATACAGGCAATAGGTAAGCATTCCCAGCCAAAAGGAGTAATTTTGCCAGTAAGAACAAAACACAGAAAGGACTTACAGGCCCCATGAAACTCCAAACCCGGAAGGCCAGTCATTCAATCCTACAACTCCAAAATTACCCTTTTTGAAACCTTGTCCCACATCCAGGGCACACGGATGTAAGGGCTGGGCTCCCAAGGCCTTGGGCAGCTCTGCACCTGTGGCTTTGCAGGGTTTATGCCCCAGGGCTGCCTTCATGGGCTGGGCTGGTGTTGAGTGCGTGTAGCTTTTCCCCACTGACAGTACAAGCTGTTGTGGGGTCTATGAATCTGGGGTCTGCATGATGGTGGCCTCCAGTGTGGGGGCTCCAACTCCGTATTTTCCTTCTGCACTTCCCTGGTAGAGGTTTCTTATGAGGTGCTGCCTTTTTGGAAGGCTTTTGCCTGGACACCCACACATTTCCATGCATCCTCCAAAATCTATACAGAGGCTCCCAAGCCTCTAGTCTCATGCTCCATCCAACCAGTGGCTTAACACTATGAGGAAGTTCATGACAACTCACTATCACGAGGTCAGCATCAAGAAGATGGTGCTTAATCACTGGTGAAGGATCCACCCCCCAACCCACCTCCACCCCCTACTGTTTCCAGGCAGAAGCCTGAGGCAGAGGCAGAGCCTCTTGGAAAACCTGTACCATGCCAGTGCAGAAGAAAAACATGGGCTTGGAACCCCTATGCAGGAAGCCACCATCCTCCAAACCCCAGGTTCATAGCCCCACCAACAGCTCGCTCCTTCAGTATGGAAAAGCTACTGGCACTCAACATCAGCCCAGCCCATGAGAGCAGCCGTGGGGCTACACCCTGCAAAGCCACAGGTGCACTGTCCTAGTAGAGGTTTTCCACCAGCCTCTGCCTCTGCAGCAGGCTACTCCTCCTTCCTACTACCCCCACCCTCCCACCACACTACAGCCAGCTTACTCCTCACCACCCTACCCACCCCTTTTCCCTCCAACCCCACCCCCCTCCCATCCATGATAAAATCACCTCCCACCAGGCTCCACCTCCAACATTCGGGATTGCAATTCCACATGAGTTTTTCTAGGGAAATATAGCCAAACCATATTATTCTGCCCTTGACCCCCTCCCGCTGAATCTCATGTCACTCTCACGGAGTAAAATACAGTCATGCCTCTTCAAATGTTTCCAAAAGCCTTAACTCATTCCAGCATTAACTCAAATGTAAAAAGTTCAAAGTCTTATCTAATACAAGGTTACAGTCTCTTCTGCCTATGAGTCCCTGAATTTCAAATGGAGTTCTTTTAAGGTACAATGATGGTACAGACATTGTGTAAGCTTTCTCAATCCAAAGGGAAGAAATTTCCCAGAAAAATAATACAAATGGGACCACAGGCCCAATGCACATCCAAAACCCAGCAGGCCAGTATTCATTGAATCTCAAAGCCCCTAAATCATGAAGCAAACTATCAGAAGGACAGCATTAAAAAGATGGTGTTTAACCATTTGTGAAGGATCTGCCTCCCACCCCTGCCTTTCCCCCGAACCCCACCACAATCCCTGCAATGCTCCTCACTACCCCCACCTTCCAACCTCCACTGTCCACCATGATTGAATCACCATCCACCAGTCCCCACATTTAACTTTTCCCGTTACAATTGCACAGGAGTTTTGGTAGGGACACAGAGCCAAATCATATTATTCTGTCCCCGGTCTCCCAAATCTCCTATCTTTCTCACACTGCAAAATACAATGATGCCTTCCCTACAGTCCCCCAAATCTTAAATAATTCCAGCATTTACTCAAATGTCCAAACCCCAAAGTCTCATCTGAGACAAGGCTACAGTCCTTTCTGCCCCTGAGTTTCTGAATTATAAAGCAAGTTAACTACTTCCAAGGTACAATGATTGTACAGCCAACGGGTAAACATTCCAGGCAACAGAAAAAAGAAATTGCCAGAAAGAAAAACAAAACACAGATGGGACTCACAGGATACATGAACATCCATTACCCAGGAGGCCAGTCACTCAATCCGACAGCTCCAAAATCATCCTTTTTGAATCTTTGTCCCACATCCGGGGCACAGGGGCATGGGGGCTGGGCTCCCAAGGCCTTGGGCAGATCTGCGCCTGTGGCTTTGCAGCGTTCAGCACCCAAGGCTGCCTCTCATGGACAGGGCTGATGTTGAGTGCCTGTGGCTTTTCCACACTCAGGGTGCAAGCTGTCGGTGGGTCTATGAATCTGGGGTTTGGAGAATGCAGCCTCCCTGTGTGGGGGCTTCAACCCTCTATGTCCCTTCTTTGCTGCCCTAGTAGAGGTTTTCCATGAGGCTCTGGCTCTTGGAAAGGCTCCTGCCTGCACACCCAGGTTTTTCTGTACATCCTCTGGAGTCTAGACGGAGGCTCCCGAGCCTCTGGTCTCTTGCTCTGTGCACCTAATGGCTTAACACTATGTGGAAGCCATCAAGGCTTGGAGCCACCTCTGAAGCAGTGACCCAAGCTCTATCTGTGCATCCTTCAGTCATGGCTGGAGCTCGAGCTGCAGGGATGAAGGCAGCAGTGTCCTGAGGATGCACACAGAAGCGGGGCCATGCAGCTGGCCCAGGAAACCATTCATCTCTGCTAGGCCCCAGGACCTGTGACAGCAAGGGCCACTGCAAAGGTCTCTGAAATGCCTTCAAGGCCTTTTACCCTTTGTCTTGGCTGCTTGCACTAAGCTCCTTTTTATGCAAATACCCTGAGCCTTCTTGAATTTTCCCCATTAGCTATTTTCTATTTTATTAGCTATTAGCTGTTAGCTATCCTATTTTCAAAAAGAAAATAGGATTTCTTTTTGACCACTTGGCCAGGATGCAAATGTTCCAAACTTTTGAGCTCTGCTTCT